ACATACACTTGCTAATTGCAAAGACACTTCAGATTTTATTGTTCTTAATAAAAAAATGGTTAGCATCTACCTATCAGTGAAAAGTGGCATGTGGATGTGTACCTGAGTGAATGAGATGAGATATTCTTTCAAGTATTTTTGCCATTTTTGTGGTTTATGAGCAAAAATGTCAATATCACAATGAAAAGAATAAAACAAAAAAATGATACCAACATGTGAAAAAATCCTAATAAAAAACGGTGAGATGTGAACAAAGGGAAGATTTACACGGAGACTTCTGAATAAAATGCAAGTATATTAAGACCAGGTATTCCGGAAGAGTCAGCGTCTTATGCTTCATCGACGACACCTGCCATATAAACAAAACTTCCATTTAATCTGTATGCGGTGTTATTGTGATTTAAGTTGGATTTTAACCTGTGGAAATGGAAATATTTTAGAAAACACGCATTACTTAAACCCAGATTCAACTCCATGTGCCTACTTAACGATCAATATATGAAGGATACCCTTTCATTTTTAATAGTTTATATCAAACAAACAGAATCCAAAAGGTTATATAAAAATCGTTTTTCCTTAACACGTATTGCAAGATTTTGTTGCATAAAAATGTCATTGTTTATCTATGTTCTGTTTACACTAAAATCATACTTAGTTCTTAAGGCCTGTCGTGCTGACACAATACATGATTACAAGTAGGATATATAATGACAACCTATCAGTTTTAAGTTATTTAATGTAAACACTTCTCTTTGTATTGATACAAGTGGCTAGCCTCTCAATGTATAATTACTTGTTTAAGTCATATTGTAATGATCATTTTAACATTTTAACTGTATTTAAATGTCATTTGCTTTAAGTAGCATTGGAGTTGTAAATTGTAGTCATATAAGTGTGGGTCGTTTCATAATAATAATATTGTAGTAATAGTATTATAATAATACTGTAATAATAGTATCATAATAACACTGTAGTAATGTAATAATAGTATCATAATACTGTAGTAATAGTATCATAATAATACTGTAATAATACTGTAATAATAGTATTATAATAATACTGTATAATACTGTAATAATAGTATTATAATAATACTGTATATACTGTAATAATAGTATCATAATAACACTGTAGTAATGTAATAATAGTATCATAATAACACTGTAATAATAGTATTATAATAATGTAATAATAGTATCATAATAACACTGTAATAATAGTATTATAATAACAATAATAATGTCATTATAATGTCATAATAAATGTATCGGGCTGTTAATGCTACAAACTTTGATATGTTGCTTTATCATGATAAACTACTCTTTATTCTTTTAGTCATAAAAATGTAATCCCAACATTTGTATTGATAAAGATTTTTCCCCTCTTAATGAAAACCTGAATACACTGTGACAAATGTTGTGGATGGTAATTATCATTTCTACAAGTATACCCAATGGACCACAATTTACTATCTAACTTTAAAAAGGAAACTGATATAACAAGCATATCTGAGAGTTTAATCCGGACATAATGTGGAATACAGTTTGATATAAATAGGTATACATTGTATGTTATGGTCCTCCCGTATCCAAATAGTAAAATACGCTGAAATTCATATAAACTTTACGAGTCACAAAGTTCAGTAAAAAATGGAATACTGACAATTCAATTCCAAATCGAAATATAGACGAGATTTATAACGCATGAAGACAGATATTTCGGAGAGCAAAACTATTCTGATGATTTAAGTTACTTTCTTAAATAAGATCAGGTATTTGACAACGCACCAACCACCATATTTAGAGCATAGAACACACCAAACAGCACCCAATGTGATTATTTCTAACAAAAAGAACTTGACAAAATATGACTTAAAACAAAGAAAAGATAAAAAAAATAAAAAAAAAAATAGAACTCAAAAATTATATTTAGAATAAACTAAGAAAAAAAGCATACTTATGTTGTTGTTTGTTTGTTTTTGTTTTTGTTTTTGTTTTTTTTTTGCGTTGTGGTTGAAAAACGTTCAACACAAAAATTCTTATTATACTTTACAATACTTATAGCTTAAATAATATTGGCACAATATGATATAGTTTCCATTACATATAGTTTCTATTATCATACAGCTCTACCAGCCAATCTTTAAAGACGCCAGTTTGATAGTATGAACTTTAAGCCAACAGAAACAAACAATATATTGTGGGTATCTCACTGTATATGACTCAATGACATGAAAATTGAATCTTTTACAACGCAATTTTAAATGACTTTGTGTATTTCAAAGATTTCATATTCTATTGTTGATGTGAAAGTTTCGGTAAGAAGTAGGTATTATATATATGGAAAGTGATGTTAAGACAGAAATGACGTCATCACAGGCTTTGATCTATAGAAATCACAAGTTGTATAAGACATTAATCGCTGCTGTTTTATGATAAATATTTATTATTATTTAATTCCTTATTTGGTCTTTTTGTAAAAGATGTTATTTACGTGTGTCTATTTGTACAAACTCAGAAAATATAAATTAACAACTGACGTTTTTTTTTTCTAGCAAATCTGCAAGATTTGTTAAATAGTCGGGGTCCTATCACAACAGTCCTTAATGTTTGGAGAGAGTTCATTAATGGAATATCATGAAAGTTATGGGTCAAATTCACGCCCGTTATGTATAAATCTTTTACTTTAGATCACAAGATTGACTTGTCACTATAAGTGTCATTATAAACAAATATGACTACCCCGTCATTAAGTCCTCATACATCGATCAGGTGGCTGGGTTAGCTAAAACGCCAGGTATGTACAGATATGACGGCTTCGTGGAAATTCGAAGATATTTCAAAATCATCTTTCCTTCTTGAAAAAATCCATTTATTAAAATGTGCCGAATATCTTGTTAGAAAAAAATACAATTTTGTTTCTTATCTCGAATAATCAACAAAGCTCATAGGTTTAAAAGTTTAATGGACAATGAGACTACAGCAAAATACAGGTAAGCTTGCTAACCCGACAGGGTCCAGTACAGGTGTGTGTATAATGCCATTTTCGCATATTAACGTTTGTTAGTAATTGTCTGCTATCGTATTCCGACATAACACGAGAGAATAATAGTTGTATACTGTACCATTCCAACACATTAATCTCGCCCGATCTCACAACTTATCCCTGCAATGGTAGCTAGTCTCCAAAACCTGTTAATTCCATGGACCCAAACATCAGTGATATTTAGTGATAATAAAAACAGAAATTCTGTCGTCCTCCCTGTCCCTCCTCCGTCCGTGTGGTTACACTAAATCTTACCGCTGAGCCATTTACATTTCTGCTATCAAAGATTTTTTTCACCTGTGTTATATATTTTAAAAGCAGATTTTCGCACGGGATTTCTTCTTCGATAAATAGATACTATAAAACTGATATGTGATATTTGGAAACTTCCTTACTGGACACTGATCCAGTAAAAACTTTTCATAGTAGCAACATAATGTTTCTTAACATTAATTTGAAAAGGTGAATAAAGATTTTTTTTTCTTCAAATTATCAAAAGAAAAATTCCTTGAAGAATAAAATAATTGATAAATGGGATTATTTATAGTAATTGATCTTTGAATGTATCTTTCCGTAGACTTTCTGAGGTATATATTCAATTTCAAATCCCATATTCTCATTCATTTTACAAATCCTGACAACATTTTCGATCCTCATGTACAACCCGTTAATAGAATTAACAACCATTATTTTTTTTTCATTTTTTGTTCTTTTAATTCCAAAAATGGTATAAAATTGCCATTTCTCTTGGATTAACAGGAATATCGTCAACACGAACCACTATAACAAGGAGACATTTCTCTCTTATAACACAAGTTTTGATAAATCATAACATTAAAATCATGTGCACTATCTTCTTTCATTTTTCTGTATTTTTTTCAAACTGGAAACTTATTAGTCTTTCAAGTCTTAAAATTATAATATCCTGGGAATAATTATGGCTTCAAATTAATATTGAAATGTTACCATGACGACTAAATTTCTCACTAAATCACTAAAAATACTGTTTTATCTACGGATTTCTCTGGTTGGTCATAGATAACACCCACACCCCACACCCCCCCCCCCCTCCCCTCCACTCCCCATTTCCCCAAACCGCTCACCCCCTCTCCCAAACCCCGAATAACAAACGTATAAGAATAAAGAATCTCTCCTTCGAGGGACTCGGGTGAAATAGATCCGTATTTCTCGAAATCCATTCAATAACCACAGCAACTCGACAGGTATCATCAGAATCCGGTCATCGTTTCCTAAAGAATGGATTAGAATAACCGCCAACAACAAGTGGTGGAGGTTTATTCATCAAAAAAGGTATTATTGCAAAATATAAGAAATATAACATTGTTAGCATTCAACGGAGAGAGAGAGAGGGGGAGAGAGAGAGAGAGAGAGAGAGAGAGAGAGAGAGAGAGAGAGAGAGAGAGAGAGAGAGAGAGAGAGAGAGGGGGGGAGGGGAAGAGAGAGAGAGAGCATAATTTATTTCAATACCGGATTGAAATATCCATCTGTACGACAAGCGATAGCTAAGTAACGGATCCAGATTATTTTCGAACGATACAATATCTCCGTATTTTCCTAATGAAATAATTTGTTTTAAAATTAGCTTGTTATGAGAATTATATTCCAACAGAACATAAATACTAATTATAAAGTACACCCAACAGAACGAAATACAACAGAAACGGAATGCTATATTAACAGTAAAGATCTCCGAATCTTGTGAAATACGTTGGTGGATATGAGACAGGGGTGACGGTAAGTTATTATAAAATATGGAATAGAACAAATTGGTACTTAAAATCATCTACATTGGCGAAACTGCTGTCACAGATCAGTAAGATATGGGTTCCTATGTAGGTATGTTACGAACAAAAAGAATAAGATAAGAAGGTTTCTATGTATCTTTCATTGTAATAGATTTGATTGTGGTGGAACTAGTATGTTACAATACCCCCATGGTATCACGGAGCGTGTGGGAATGGTAAGTTATCGAATCCATCGCTGCTGAAGGACAAAACACAACCAACGTAATTATGATTTTATAAATCCCAGTTTACTACCTTTCACTACGCCCGAAAGCTCCACTAATGCTAGTCAGGTCACTTATGATATTTGTGCTTTTGTCTGTGTATAAAAGAATTATCATTTTATCGGACTTCAGTGCGGAGTACAATATATACGATAGCAACATCAGACGAGTGTTAAACAATTCTTTTATTTAAGGGGAGCTAACTCGTATATTACTCAATCTATCATTAACTAGCTTCAGAGTGTAAGAAGATCACCACACGGCACAGTCCCCAGAACAATGCATTAATTAACTACCGTCTTCCAATTAAGTGCTTAATTTTTGCTCGAATCATTAATTTTTTCATTGTTTGGTTAATTGTTCATATTTTTCAGCGATTCACTATGAAAATTTTATTTAAAACCCTTTTTAAGTTGTCCAATGTAACAAATTACTGACACACAAGTAGGTGAAGGATTACTTTCGTTCGTCGTGTGCTTTAGGTCACACCTCACCTAGATAGCTCACGGTGTCAATAACATATCTTAAATGTTTTACATCTAATCTGTTACTCTATCGTTGATACGTTCACCAGATCAAGTGTCAGATATATGAAACAATAGCGTACACGACAGATGGGGTACCTGTCTGTTACACGGGTACCGTGAAGGTAGATCGGTTTGGTACACGAGGAAGCCTGGTACAATGGAATGGCGTGAGAGGGCCATATTCATCACAACACCCGGTGTCGATATACAGCTCCTAACCCGACAACACATCAGAGAGATCTATGACAGTATCGACAAGTCGGTTAAATTCAGCCAACTGTCCTAACCTAATACATTACCATGTCTTAGACGTGTTACAGTACTTTACAAATGAGAAGACAATGAGATAGTTATTACTGATTAAAATATCATAAATATGTTGATCACGCGTCATATTCTTAAATTCTTATCTAACATGTAATAACACTGACGTAATATACATCTTATTTTAAATACACATGGGCATCATTCACGTGTACATATGGGCATCATTCACGTGTACACATGGGCATCATTCATATGTTTTATCGTGTAGTGTATGGAATTATTGATGTGAATATCATTCCCATCCCAAAATTGTCACTACAGCTTAGTAATAACGTAATATATAGTATTTTGTTTTCATTCTATTTCTTTACTATTAATTAGTACCAAATACTAGTCGTTTGAACAATTTAACAATTACTTAAGTGAATTTGCATCGTCACATAACACCCATATCCCTACCCTAACCCCCAAATCCAACCCAACCCCCAAACCCAAGTCCCCCTCATCCCTATACCCCAACGCCCAAACCCAGAGCCCCCTCATCTCTACCCCAACCCCCAAACCCAGAGCCCCTCATCCCTACCTCAACCCCCAAACCCAGAGCCCCCTCATCTCTACCCCAACGCCCAAACCCAGAGCCCCCTCATCCCTACCCCAACGCCCAAACCCAGAGCCCCCTCATCCCTACCCCAACGCCCAAACCCAGAGCCCCCTCATCCCTACCCCAACCCCCAAACCCAGAGCCCCCTCATCCCTACCCCAACCCCCAAACCCAGAGCCCCCTCATCCCTACCCCAACCTCCGTATGGTTGTTAATGTTATTCTAAATGAGAATATTGTTGTTTGAGTATTTACTACGCTGACCGTGAAAATCTGATCGTTTAAGATTATTTATAAAATCATGCTTGTCTCTCATATAATTGATTTTATGTCCAATGTTTAGATAAATATATGGTACGGAACTTCATACATTGACATATGCTTGGTAAGTTATACATATATCGTCCTCACGTATAAAATGTACACCCTGAAGTCGATCTCGGTGAGTGAGTTAGCGATCATGTTAACAATACATCCGGGTATAGCTTTAAAAATAACCCCAAAAACATTAATTTACGAGTTAAAAGTTAGGGTATATATATTTTTAAAATTTTCAAACTTCAAACGACAGAAGCTGAAATGTTATGCAATGGCTAACAAATGTTAAAAACACATAAACTTGGCAGGATCGTTGATTCAGAATCTCATCTCGTACAACACATATTTACTACATTCCAAACTTTTGACAGAAGTACCAGCTTTCTGCCTTGCATGTAAAATGTCTGTGAAGGTAGAATTCCTCTCAATGGCTGGTATGATTTCAATAGATTTTGTGTAGTCATACCACTGATTTGACATTGACCTGCCATCAAAAATGATTGTCGATACAATATGACCTACAAGTTTCTATTGAAACGTTCCTGAGATCCAGATATATCTTTCTGTAAATCTCTATGAATGACGTGCTTGATTTGGTTTCAATATTGATACACAATTAACAAGGAAATTCGAGACTTAATAACTCTTCCATTCGTTTTATAAGAAAAGAATCCGAAATTTGAATTATCTAACGACAGTATTTGTGTTTGATGTATTCATAACAAACAATCAGGTTTGCTATTCAGAAACACGCACAACACCATATAAACAAATTCTTGACAAGGTTTAAAAAATAAAAATAAAAAATGACATATCTATATGCTGGTATCATATATTGCTTTTTACCTTATTCAACTTATTAAAAACGACCAGAAAATGAAGACAAAAATATGTTAGCTTGCATCATTTTTATGGATGAAAACTCGTTAAGAATTCCAAATAAAATAATATGTTGGGAGTATGAAAACAAGAAAAAAAATTTTTCTGTTTGATGAAGGTTGACGATTGATGGTAACTATGGTAAAGTGTTGCCCTTTAGATCTCATTTGGAAATATGTCCTTATGCTGGATGCTGGTAGGTAAATGTAATATAACGTAAGATGTGCTGAATGCTTGTGAGTATTTGTGATATAACGTAAGATGTGCTGAATGCTCGTTAGTATTTGTGATATAAAGTAAGTTGTGCTGAATGCTCGTCAGTATTTGTGATATGAAGTAAGTTGTGCTGAATGCTCGTTAGTATTTGTGATATAAAGTAAGTTGTGCTGAATGCTCGTTAGTATTTGTGACGTTAAGTAAGTTGTGCTGAATGCTCGTTAGTATTTGTGATATAAAGTAAGTTGTGCTGAATGCTCGTTAGTATTTGTGATATAAAGTAAGTTGTGCTGAATGCTCGTTAGTATTTGTGATATAAAGTAAGTTGTGCTGAATGCTCGTCAGTATTTGTGATATAAAGTAAGTTGTGCTGAATGCTCGTTAGTATTTGTGATATAAAGTCAGATGTGTTGAATGCTCGTTAGTATTTGTAATATAAAGTAAGTTGTGCTGAATGCTCGTTAGTATTTGTGACGTTAAGTAAGTTGTGCTGAATGCTCGTTAGTATTTGTGATATAAAGTAAGTTGTGCTGAATGCTCGTTAGTATTTGTGACGTTAAGTAAGTTGTGCTGAATGCTCGTTAGTATTTGTGATATAAAGTAAGTTGTGCTGAATGCTCGTTAGTATTTGTGATATAAAGTAAGTTGTGCTGAATGCTCGTTAGTATTTGTGATATAAAGTAAGTTGTGTTGAATGCTCGTTAGTATTTGTGATATAAAGTAAGTTGTGCTGAATGCTCGTTAGTATTTGTGATATAAAGTAAGTTGTGCTGAATGCTCGTTAGTATTTGTGATATAAAGTAAGTTGTGCTGAATGCTCGTTAGTATTTGTGATATAAAGTCAGATGTGTTGAATGCTCGTTAGTATTTGTGATATAAAGTCAGATGTGTTGAATGCTCGTTAGTATTTGTAATATAAAGTAAGTTGTGCTGAATGCTCGTTAGTATTTGTGATATAAAGTAAGTTGTGCTGAATGCTCGTTAGTATTTGTGACGTTAAGTAAGTTGTGCTGAATGCTCGTCATATTTGTGACGTTAAGTCAGATGTGTTGAATGCTCGTTAGTATTTGTGATATAAAGTAAGTTGTGCTGAATGCTCGTTAGTATTTGTGATATAAAGTAAGTTGTGCTGAATGCTCGTTAGTATTTGTGATTTTAAGTAAGTTGTGCTGAATGCTCGTTAGTATTTGTGTGATATAAAGTAAGTTGTGCTGAATGCTCGTTAGTATTTGTGATATAAAGTAAGTTGTGCTGAATGCTCGTTAGTATTTGTGATATAAAGTAAGTTGTGCTGAATGCTCGTTAGTATTTGTGATATAAAGTAAGTTGTGTTGAATGCTCGTTAGTATTTGTGATATAAAGTCAGATGTGTTGAATGCTCGTTAGTATTTGTGATATAAAGTAAGTTGTGCTGAATGCTCGTTAGTATTTGTGATATAAAGTAAGTTGTGCTGAATGCTCGTTAGTATTTGTGACGTTAAGTAAGTTGTGCTGAATGCTCGTCATATTTGTGATATAAAGTCAGATGTGTTGAATGCTCGTTAGTATTTGTGATCTTAAGTCAGATGTGCTGAATGCTCGTTAGTATGCTCGTTAGTATTTGTGATATAAAGTAAGTTGTGCTGAATGCTCGTTAGTATTTGTGATATAAAGTAAGTTGTGCTGAATGCTCGTTAGTATTTGTGACGTTAAGTAAGTTGTGCTGAATGCTCGTTAGTATTTGTGATATAAAGTAAGTTGTGCTGAATGCTCGTTAGTATTTGTGATATAAAGTAAGTTGTGCTGAATGCTCGTTAGTATTTGTGATATAAAGTCAGATGTGTTGAATGCTCGTTAGTATTTGCGATATAAAGTCAGATGTGTTGAATGCTCGTTAGTATTTGTAATATAAAGTAAGTTGTGCTGAATGCTCGTTAGTATTTGTCAAGTTAAGTAAGTTGTGCTGAATGCTCGTCAGTATTTGTGATATAAAGTAAGTTGTGCTGAATGCTCGTTAGTATTTGTGATATAAAGTAAGTTGTGCTGAATGCTCGTTAGTATTTGTGATATAAAGTCAGATGTGTTGAATGCTCGTTAGTATTTGTAATATAAAGTAAGTTGTGCTGAATGCTCGTTAGTATTTGTGATATAAAGTAAGTTGTGCTGAATGCTCGTTAGTATTTGTGATATAAAGTCAGTTGTGTTGAATGCTCGTTAGTATTTGTGATATAAAGTAAGTTGTGCTGAATGCTCGTTAGTATTTGTGATATAAAGTCAGATGTGTTGAATGCTCGTTAGTATTTGTAATATAAAGTAAGTTGTGCTGAATGCTTGTGAGTATTTGTGATATAAAGTAAGATGTTTTGAATGCTTGAGAGTATTGGTGATATAAAGTAAGATTTGCTGAATGCTCGTTAGTATTTGTGACGTTAAGTAAGTTGTGCTGAATGCTCGTTAGTATTTGTGATATAAAGTAAGATGTGTTGAATGCTCGTTAGTATTTGTGACGTTAAGTAAGTTGTGCTGAATGCTCGTTAGTATTTATGACGTTAAGTTGTAATATTCCTGGTAACATGACATGACTAACATTAACCATGATTTTACGACGGTTACCGTCGATGACGTTCATGACGCCTACCCTTCCGGATAACCTGGTCATATTTTCATGTATTTCTATATTTTGAGTGTAAATCTTTCCTATTGTCTGTATTTACTATTCTAAGTTTCTATAATTAATACTTGGTCTGTTTTTTTTAAACTAACATGATTATTCTTACATGTTCCTGTTTTTTAATCCTGTATAGGATTTATTTTTATGTCTCATTTTTATTACAATATTTTTTCTGTTTTATATTTAGGACTGATTAGCTTTTTATATTAGTGTATTGATGCAGTGCGTTGTATTACTAATATATCAACCCTTTGTGAATAAATTAGTTTATATATTATTTCATATTAATGACGTATTCGATGTATGGAATTCTATAAATCAGGTTCGTATTTATGATAACTTTAATGCGCTGGATCATCAACGTAAATGTTTCTGGTCTTTATCACGTCATCTGTATTTATAGAGAAATATACACAAAGGTTATGTAAATGAGGCGTGAATTTAGTTACAATTGTAAATAGATATATTGACGATATAATTAATGTTATTGTTTTTTTATTGTAAACAATGGATTAATGAGGTTTGTCATGATCAGTGTTTCAATCTGGTCAGATATAGATGTAAATTAGTTGTGATAGGGGATTTCAATCTAGGTTGAATAAAGATGTATATTTAATGTGATTGATGATTTCAATGAAGAACTACTGCCATAAATATGATGTTGTGGTATTTATATGTAAGGTAAGTAAAAGTACAAATTTTAATGTGATGACATATTGATCTGGAGGTTGATTCTTTTATCATTAAAAATCATTTTTATGACGTCATGATATGTTAATATATAGTTGGTGTTTTTAAATGTAAATAATGATATGTAATCACGTGATTGGTCTTTTCAATTTAAATAATGATATATTATAATGTGATTGGATTTTTTTTTATTTAAATTATGCTATGTAATCACGTGATTGGTGTTATCTATACAATTAATGGTGTACCTCGTTTGTTTCAGTGTAAGTAATGATATGATTGGTTATGATATGATGTGTTTTCAAGGTATATATTGATTTAACACATAATCGCTCTTTTATTCAGTAAATTCGCCCATGTACTTATATGTTTTACATTTGTCACTAGAGCTATATACCCTAGAGCGGTTTTCATTGGCTGTGCCAGTCAGAAATCGACTGTAGTATCATTACATGGACAATGACGCTACGTCATTTATTGAAGATAACACAACA